AGCTATGAATATTTAGAACTTATCTGTTTGGAGAAAGTTGGCTGTCAGATTATAGCAGCAAATCAATAAATAATTCCCTTTAAAAACTGCTTGATAAAGATACATATCGGTTGTCTGTTATTTTCTGAACAACTTATTATAATAATACTAAATGAAGGCGAAAAAAAAAAGAAAGAAACGACCAGTTTGTAGCTATGATAAGTGAAGTGTGTGTATCTGATAAATTGTTTAGTGGAAACTGAAAAGGTTTTTAGTTTTTGTAGTGTTGTTTATTGTTTTGTTGTTGTGATTAGTAATAATGATGATGATGAATGAGTAACTTCTCTGAAATCATTTTTCGTTCAGGGTTTTCTGATTATCTTTAAATTTTTCCTTTCTTTCTTTTCTCTTATCTTTAATTCCTTAATTTCTTTTTTCATCGGCTATCTTCAATTAAATAGAAAAACAAATGGATTGTCAGCAAATCTGTGAAAAAAAAAAATACTGCTTATAGACGTAAATTTTCGGACCGAAAAACTTTTTTGAGTGCAAACTTTAAGATGAAAAAATGGAGGGGAACTGATGTGTATACTTGAGCAGCAGTAGCAGCAGCACAGTTAATTGGTAGAATGGTAGATATTTCCTACTTGTTACTCTTCTTTAAAAACAATTTGAGTAACGTCGTTGATCAGTTATGTCAACAGACCCAAACCAACTTAGCGGAATGGCGTTAAACGGTAGGACAACGATGCTGTTGTCACTGTCTTAACTGCTGCCATTGTCAGCTTACTTCTGCTACGATAGTTCATTGTCCATTAATTGAATAGTTTTTTTTAACTTTTAACATTGCGTGTGTGTGTGTGTGTGGATTCATTGTTCGGCCCTGTAGATATGCATGGATTATTTGAACTTCCTCGTTTTTCGACAGAAGTCAGCGCTGCTGTGGTTGTTACGGTGAAAAAAATTCAATGCAATTGAAACATGTTGAAATGGGGCAGAAAGGTTTAGGAGTAGGCAGAGGGGTTGCATTTGGAAATGTAAACTGATACTGGAAAATTCTTATCAAAGTAGTTGAATGAATGAAAGAATGACTGAATGGAGGGATTAATATTTGGATCAGTGGCCTCTATAAGTGCATGGACGAGAAATTCAGATTCGTATCATTGGTAAAATGGGCGAGTACTGTAACCGGGCTAATGACAGTCCTCTTCTATCAAACAGACACTTGTTCAGAAATTGAGACTTCTGATTTGGTGACTTGTTGTGTGCTTGGGTTATTTAGGTCTATTAGATGAGTTTTCAACTTCGGTCACGTGTTGATTTTTTTTTATCATTTGAAAGGCTTTTTTTGCATCAATATCTTATATTTAATCGAAGTAAATGCCTTTTTTCTCTCTGGTTATCGTCACTGTTGCGTACGTCTCGTATACGGAGCAATAAACTAAAATCTGTTACAGCAACGTATTTGTCTTTTGTTTTTTTATTTCTAGATTTTTCAAGATGGTTTATTCATTTATTTATTTATTCATTTACATATGTTTTTTTCTTTTTGTGCATTAATCATAAGTTTCCAGATGTCAAGGCAGCCGATTAGGGTTGTAGCTAAACCGCCACCTGCACAACCACCGAGACCGATCCAAAAGTTTGTGTCATTTTAGTGTCATTGTTGTTAATTGTTCGATGATTTCCTCTTGCCATCTTCATTTGTTGCAAAATTCAAAGCTGTTATTTATGTTTCTGTCCTAATTGCCTTTTGAAGTTTCTTAACTCATAAAGTTAATCGGGCAGTTAATTGGATTAGCTGAAATGTTTCCTTACAGCTGGCGTAATAACAGTTATAATGAGATGTTGCGGATCAGTGAGCAACAGCGAAAGCTTATTGAAGCAAATCGTCGAGAAATTGAGGAACGGCAAGCAAGAGGAACGAAAGTTGAAAATGCTGCTGCTCGGTTGGCAACATTACGTAATGAGGTACATCTTGAATTTCTTTTTCACCCTGAAGCAATGGTAATCAGAGGAACTGTTGTTGTTGGTTTTTAAACTGAGAAAGTAGTTTGATTTTGATATGCAACCATTTGGACGTTATATTGTTTAAATTTTTATTATCATAGATGTGATTGTTTTTTAAGGTTCTTCGAGAAGAACGCGAAATGGCCAGGTTAACTGCTATGCAGCGGGAGGCACGTGAAGTATGCGTAGAAAGAGCTGCTGCCGAAAGGCAACTGTTTGGGCTTCAGTCCACTTTTTCGTCTCAGGAGCAACAGCTTCGCAACGCTGCTTCAAAGGTGGAGTACTTGACCACACAGGTATGGGCACTCATTTCTGCATCAGATTTTCTATTGTTTCGTTGGATATTTTTCGTATAAAATTAATGCGTTTTTTCGTTTCTAGGATTTTATTACTAAATTACTCTGAACATTTTGTAATTTTTTGAATTCAGCTAGCACTTTTACACCGAAGACGTTTGTCAGCAGTAACCGCTGCAATTGCACAGCAACGAAAAGTAAATTCGGCTTATGCTGCTCAGAATTCGTCTATCCAGGTGGTACTTTCGATCAATAATTGTTGAGTACAAATTTTTTAACGGCTAGGTTTCCTTTTTTGTTTTTTTATTAAAGCTGAAGCGCACTAAATTCTATGCCAAATTTTATGTTTCAGAGCGATGATACTTCGCGTTCTACTACATCCAGCGATTGTATTGTCAGGCCTCGCGCGTCAGTGGAACCCTTTCAGGTAGAGTAATTTACGGGTTTACCTTATTGAATTTACAGCTAAAGGAATCCCGCAAGAGGGAAATTTTTTTTTTTGTTTATTTGTGAACATGTTTTACTTGACTTCATTTTTTTTTTTCAGATAACTCGACCGTCTATAATAATGAGTAATGAAGAAAAACGGCAGATAAATTTGCCTCCTCCACCGCCACCTCCTCCGCCGATGTTAGCTGTGCCGTCAAGGACACCCAGTGCTTTACAGCATAATTCTCGGACGTCTTCAGTTAATGAAGGGGATAGCACAGACAGGTAGAATTCCTGTTTTTCTAGAGGCACGGTGAGCTCAGTGCATCCATCTTGTGTTGAACGTAGGGCTTCAAATCTGAAAATGCTTGCCGGAATCAGTCAAGCACTTCCAATTTTTTGTTGCGAATAGTACCAACATGTGGGGAATTAGCGGGGCTCTTCTACTAAGTACTCGCCCTGAAGTTACTTTATACAGTATATTGTATTTTTATCTGTGATTTTATTCTAGAGTTGTTTTTCGTGCTCAGCCTGTGGTTGATCGAGGTTGTCGAGAGGAAACGCCTTCTCCACCCAAAGATCCTTACCCGTCACCGTATGATGGTGGGCAAGAGCAGTGCAAGGGTTCTTCGGAAAACAAAAATTCTGTCTGTACGGTTTCAACAATATCCCCTTCTAAATTACCGAATGGCATTCTCAATACCGATCCTGCTTACGGGCAAGCTAGACGAACCGCAAATATTCATCATTTTTGGAACGAAACGCGAGCTTTTGATGAAGAACAGCCTCCGGCAGATTTAGTAAGGAGGCTTATGAAGGAAGATGAGAATAAATTAGCTCGCGCTGATCAAATTTCAATTCGAGCTGATACACTACGAGCTGCAAAACGAAGGTTGAGTTTCAAAAGTATCTCTGAAATTTTCCTACTCAAGTACTTATTTGGATCTTTCCTTTTGAGGCTATATAATTATTTGTTTTGGTTTCTAATGTCACATTTAAGGTCATGGGCACAACAGGAGTCATCTGTTGATGAAACAGAACATATTCGAAAGATTCTGTGCGAGGAGCAGAAGAAGGGACGTACTCATTTAGTTCTTGATCCTCATCTTGAGATGATATTAAATCATGCGTCTCATCATCAGGTGATATGTTTATTATCAACAGGCTATGATTTTGTCGAAGTATCTTGATTGTTTTTAATTTAAAAATTTTTGGCTTTTTCACGTTGTGGTTGATTTGATTTTGAATCATTATTCTGTTATTATTATTATTATTATTATTATTATTATTAT